AATAGTTATTGATATTGGGATTTCTATGTCACAGATTGTGCTCACGTCGGCTATAAAAGGCATTGTTGTTTTAAGAATATATTCGTTTGTGAAATCTAAGCAGGTGTTTCCAGCACTTTTATTAGTCGTATGCCCCCAAACGGGTAGTAAATGTCAGTTAGACATTAGTTCCCTTTTTTTGGTGTCAAAGAAGACTTTGTTATCACTTCCTGGTTGAATAAGCTACTTGAAGTAAAATGCCCTGTGGAGACATACAAAATAATCCACAGATAGTAGAGATAACCTTGCGGATTTGTCTAAGCAAGTTTTCTACAACTAGGTTAAGCTTATAACACCGACGCTATCTTTACTTTGATTTTTAAATTTTCAAAATTGATTCTTCTAAATAGTCAATAAGATTATACATAAAGATGATTGATTTATGTGTGACCATGTCTATAAGATTTTCCAAGGAATTTTACCACAGAGGTGTACCTCTACGCATGACGTATGTAACAGTCGTCAATGTTAACAAGAAATCATAGATTGGGACTTTATAACCTGTTTACCCAGGTTGTAAATCTGTTATGTTACGAGGAATTTTCTAAACAACTTTCGCCTTTAACTGTATATCAACATATGTTTTGAAATACACTCGCAATTTCATCTTTTTGTTTTACCTTCAGTACCTTACTTGGTACTTCTAGTATTTACTTTTGCCATGATTAAAGCCAAGTTTATACCAATGATGCCCGATACAGCTTGATAAACTTGACATTAATTACTGCAGTGGGTGCCACAAGCGGTATACAGGAAACGATTTAATCGCGGATGTCCGGAGTTAACTATTCAAATATCTATGTTTGTGTGTGGTTCGTGATTACGTTTCTGTCATCTTAGTTCCCTCTGTTGCGTTTCGTAAATATTTTGAATGCCAATTCTTATTGAAGTTGTGGTGCATTGCATATTTTTGTACTTTTTACTTTGTATACTGCCTTAAATGCATAAATAACCCTTCAAATTTTGAAATATCTTTCATTAAATGACTGAATATTGTCCTCTGCGATGAAATTAGGCTTGCTATGTATACCACTTGCACTTGGTGTGTTCTTTGAAGGAGTAACACAGTAAATACATTATAAATATTATGATTAGATATCATAACATAAATATCATAGGAATATCCAATAAACTGTAAACAGAATAAACATTAAAATGCCGTAATAAACATATATTTTAGTACACACGATTACAGACAATACTGTAAAATTAATATCAGGTGTTTGTCAGTTGCATATACATTAAATAATACATCAATCAATACAATTTTGAGGAATTTGCAGGAGCTGCCTTATTAGGCGCTTACTACTAGTCCTATGCCACCTGGCTAAAATCTGCCTATGTGTGTATGCTTGCGAATGTGCTGGAGATGTATTTTGTTCTGTTTGTAGTGGGACAGTCATTCCAACGGCATCTTTTATAGTGTCACCTCACTTAAATGCTACAGCACATATATCGCAATACTCACACCAAACCTTTCTATATTTCACCTGGGTTGTTGGAGAGTTTGAAACACGCAGTCAATAAGGTAAACCAATAAAATCTTTAAAATACACCTGATAATCAGATAAGCATTTAAAAGGTTAACAAACACGTTTTATTGGTGAGAATCTAGTTCCTTGAGGTCGATGTTGGGCAGGATGTGTCTGTGTGGATATATGTTTGTGTTGGATACAGTATTGGCACGACTGTATACCGGGGATTACAGATCAATACCTGGCACCACTAATGAGCTTTACAGTACCTGTAAACAGTGTATGAGAGGTATGTGACGTGTATGACGTACCCGTGTCCGTGATGTTTACCTGATAAGAAATCTTACGTGATGCGTGTCAGCAAATGATGGAAAGTTTTCTTTAGTACTCCTGTGTTTTTACTTAAATGTTATATTCTTCCTCAAATTTAATTTTACTTTTGATTCCAACATTGATTTTATTAACTTTCAACGATCTCTGAATTCTCTCATGTCATGTGGCATACTGGGTGTTAAATATTATCCTGACCTATTTCAAAACGTTAACTGCAAAATGTTTATTTCAATGCGGGCAAAAACTGAAGATTCCATTGCATATGGCATTAGACCATTGTTGAGTTTAATTAAAGTTTGAGCTGGAATGCGCCAGTTCGTGACGGTTCGTGATGTTTTTACTCAGTGAAGGTTTATTGGCACCTACTTCCCATCACTGTGGTACACATTCAGCTAAATATGAATGTATTTCATGCAATAGTATCAATTCCATAAATATTTTTCTTAAATAAGCATTATTCACTGTAATGTTCTATTACAAGTTGATATTTTTAACACGTGGTTCTATGAATAGATCGTAAAATACTATAAGGATCACATATACATTTGAACAGATGAAGCTCAATCCTGAAAAGAATACTTTGGTATTTTGACTAATATTGTCGAATGCACGATCAATAGAAGTAGAGCAATATGATATTACCATCTGATGATCATATGCATATTGATATGTTATTCATTCCTGGTTTCCACTGCATACCAATCCATTACCCCCTCCCCTATTGCCGTAATTGTTCTGTTGTACATATTACTTCATTCTTGTAGCTAGTGTTGAAAAGCTGATTACTAAGCAGGTAACAAATTTACATAAGTGTCACGACACTTGTTTTTGTTTCCTTTTCTGTTTTATAAAACATGTATTTCGATGTATTGTCTAACACAAATTTGAATAAAACAATGTGTAAACCAATAGAAGTAGAAAAGTACACATAATTCAAATATTTTAGACTCAAAGGAGAAATTTCTTTTCCAAACTAACGTTACTTTTTTTTAAAAAGTTGCTGAATGCACGTAAATTAAGAAAGTTATTTCTAACTTTAAACTTTAAAAAGTTATTTCTAACTTTAAACTGTCTGTGTGACCGTAATCAACAGTCTATAAAGCTGATTTACAATTAAACTTACATTAAAATATCATATAGTGAAAATTCAATGCATAAAACACTTCATTGATTTACATATTAGTTCCCTGGTCCGTCTTTCCGTGCAAATCCCGTTTTGGTTACAGTACCGATTCGAGTATACTGACGTTAAACACAGTATACAATTGAATACCGTACATCGTTGTATCACTCGCTATTTAACTTAATCCGTTGCTGTTGTTTAAGCCGATTCCGAGGTGACAAGCACGGTTCTTTATATAATTCATAAATGTGCTCATTCGTCCTGTTCCCTTTCTCTACGATTAAATGATTACAAGATTACCGGATCGCGTGATTACATGGTGTGTTCACAATCACGTGAATTCCTGCCTTATTACATAGTTCTGATTAGGATTACACATGTACTTCAGATTTGAATGGTAGTTAAGGGGAAATCTTTACTTCAACAAAACTATATAATATTTACTTTGAAAATGTTTTCGGACTCCTACATTAATTGAGCCAAATCGGAAAAAAAATGTCTGGATTGTTAAATAATGTTCGTTGATAATGACTGCATTACACGTTCATTTTTATGCAGTTATTCAAAATGGACATTACATACAAGTATATACTCTATGGAATCTCTTTACTGTATGATTGTACACATATTTAAATCATTATTTACAACTGGCGGCCAGGAACCAGATGTATCGACACTTTTATTAATGTTACAAGCTTGTACACAGTGTAAGGGTTACCCCTGGGGGAAGTTAAAGCCAGCAACTGCTATTCATATCCTATTTACCATACCAACATGTTAAGTTTGAAATTATCGTCAGCTTCATAAAAATGTTTGTAATAATAGGGCCGACCAAGATTATAAATGACCCTGACTGATAGTCCTACTCCTGAGGCTGGTTATTTACATTCATGTCAAACTCGTTCGGATTGTTCCATTTGTTTTCAGTTTAACGATAATTGACGGGTTTCACATGCAGTACATGAACCTCAACGTTTAGAGTTAGGGTATCGTGTCACTCATACATTAATGTTGAATGTATTATTTATTTGATATCTAATCGGTTCCCGTTGCAGCCTTTAGTATTACTTAAAATATGTTCAAAATTATAAAAATGTATATTTAACGCAGTGTGTAACGAGTCATAATGATTACAGTGTTAATGGAAACACAACGAGTTAGAGATTTGTTAAGTTGACAATACTTAAAGCAGTCTATGTGTGAACTATTAAATTAGTATGAATGAAAGTGTAGATGTATGTGTCAGTATACCTGTCTAATTCTACCTTGTTGTCAATACAGTAGACATGGCAAGATTTGTTAGCTTAAAACACATAATCGTATACTTTTGTGCAATTATAGGAACTTAAACTGATATAGACTACTTGGGTTAGAAATATATGATCAATTTTCGACCAAAAAAAGAAGAAAAAGTCGTGATATTTTTTGAAAGTTGGCCTTGATATGTTGAGAACCTATTGCCGCTTGATAAAGCTGCGATATTGTTCTTAGCCTGGTTAGCTTTACGAGTCAATAAACCCAAATTTTAAGATTTTTTCAATATATTCAATTTCAGAAATATTTTCCAAATTATAGTTAACAGTTGAAGATATATAATTGTATTGGTTATTGATCGTTAATGATGAATTTAATTATTTTTGAAAGAACATATCGTAGACATTTAAGCTAACTTGTTTTTAAGTGAAACACGCCCTTCACAATCCTATACAAATTAATATGAATAAATGATAACACTGCACATGATAATACACCCAGTTCAAAACATATTGAAATATATTATGAAATAGTTCTACGAAAACTTGGATTGCTTTCAAATATACAATGTGCATACAATTCATCTATAATAAGGTACCCTCTGAAATACGTCTATACTTACCAACAAAGATTAAACCACCTGTGGTCATAGCTATAATACTTCCATGCGCCTGTCGACAAGGACAGACCAAACCTACGGATTAGCCATGGAAGGGATCAACTTAATAATATGCCAGTTCAAAGGGATTAATCTCTAACTGTGTTTCCAATGCTTATATATAACGGCTGAAATTCAAAATGGTGGCAAAGTTTATATGACAATATTTGATCTCTATAACAATCGATTTAAGTGATATGAAGATGTAATTTCTGAACTAAGATATATGATTGTCGTACTCTAAGGAAATATTTACCAAACTGAAATAACAAGTTGTTGTGTGGAGTCGACTCTAACGATCAGCCATGGTTAAGATCAAGCATGTAAGTATTTATGTTGATTGTTACAATGTTTATAGAAACCATTACAAGTACAATGGAGACGTGCAATATAAATAGTTCGCTAAATCAAACAAGGACATTTTGACGGATTGTAATAATTTTACATTAAGCTACTTTGCTGTAAACTTGTTTCTCTTTATATTCCACGACATTTAACGAGGAAATTGTCTTCATTTAAAGTATTGTATGACCTCCATATATAATAGGTTTGTGTGGAAACCTATGGTGATGCTCCTGTTGAAACCAATTAGTATTTATTTGATTAATTGTATGGATGTTATGCTGTAATATTTGCACCGAGATGGGGACTTACATTTAAGTCCAAACTCAACAATATAAATCAAGTAAATTGCCTTTATATGATGTTCATCTGTCTTTCTTACAATATATGATTTCATATATCACATATTGACAACGTGTAAAAATATTTAACGTTCATAAGCCAGTATAAATTAAACACTAAATTAGCAATTTACTGTGTTTTATTAAATACATGTGTACCTATTCAAAGTTTCGCAGCAGCATTCTTCGTTTAAGTATATTTACTTACTTGATTCTGCATCCAAGCACATGTTCCGTCTTTGCGTATTGCAGAGTTATCTTCTCTTGGGAGCAGGTATTGATTGTTACGTCACTTGTTTGTGAGAGTAAAGTCATCAACTTTTGAGAAAACGACGTAATTTTCTCACCCAAACCAATGACGTAACAATCAATACCTGCTCCAAAGAGAAGATAACTCTGCAATACGCAAAGACGGAATTAGGCGACTATAGTGCAATACCTGTAGAACATTTTGGTACGTCATCTGTGTAATGGACACCTAGAAACTATAATTCCATTTGAATAATTTCCATTTTCTTTCCTTTATCTCCCTTTTTCGACACCAACGCTTAATTAAAACGTGTTTTGTTAAACAAAAAATATAACATTTAAGATAAGACAAGAAGCTTGAGGTCTTTTTTTGAATAGATGATATAGCGACCAGTGGAACTCTTCAAATAGGAAGGGGTTAAACTGTACTCGCTGGGGCAACGGACAACATGGCAGCGCCAAAACATTCAGATACGAATTTCCACGAACTTCCATGTAATGAATTGGGTGATATTTTAAAGTCAAAAGGTATCACCTACTCCAAATAAGACAATTGGGGAGCTAGTACACCTATGGTAGCAAGCAGACATGTTAAATTGGCCAGATATTGAAAAACGGGCCAAAGCTAAAGCGTCACAGCTGTGACGGACCGTCAGCGGCGTACAGAGTATCGTGTGTTACCTTTGAGTAAATGAAACGTCAGAAGGCTTGTTTTGGACAAACAATTTGATTGGAATGTCATCACTAAATGCATTTGATATGACCTCTATTCTTGTGAATTATTTTTATTGGTTCAATACAGTGAGGTGGGGCATATTGTTTACACATGGCAGGGGTCTCACTAATTTGCGCCATAGGAGATTTAGCGCCATAGGTGCGCCATAGGAGTTTTTGCACGCCATAGCAAAATTTAAGTGTTTTATCCACGAAATATTTCGATTTTTCCATTGGTATACTCATTAAACATGTTTTGGTAAAGTATCATTTAACAAAAAATGTGTACTTTGTTAGAAAATCGATCTTGATTACGAAGCACTTTACACTAATTTGCGCCATACGTGTTTTTTAACGCCATAGCTAAATATAAGAATTATTTTCAGCAAATAACTGTGTTTTTCCTTTGGTGTATGCAATGAACAGGTTGTGGTAAAGTTTCATTCTTAAAAAATGTTTATTTTGTTAGGAAATCGACAAAATATTTCATCGCGATTCAGAAGTCAATTTCAAGGGAAGTAACTCGTACATTTGCAAAATACGCCATATGTCTAGTGAATAAGACATGACTAGTACTTGAGAGGAAAAAAGAGAATTTATTTATGCATGTAAACATGGAATAAATTACAATTTAAAATAGTTAGACATGAACAAATTTTATATTAATTTTAGAATTTATTTAGAAAAGTTTATTTATTACATCTACTTAAATATCAATCACAGAAACATTAAAGAGAATAACACATTTTTAAATATTATTAATATACATTAATGTTATTTAATGAACAGATTGATTAATAACATATGTACAACACAATTATAATCTTTATTGAATTCACCAATTATACATCTAAATCTACACAGAACATTGGAATACAGAACACATCCACAGTCTATCTAATAGTCACACACTTAAAGTACACAGGTTTGAAAACATTGTCTCTATTACCACTGGCTGCAATGTTCCCATCGTCAAGGCGGTACAGTTTCATCCCAGCTCGTAGGTACTTCGGTACATCTAGGGTAATGATGTCCTAGTACTTGTCTCTAAATACTATTTGGGTTAGGCACTCTCTTCGTTTGTGGGTTTTTAACTCTACTGTATTTTTAAATCTTAAATCTATATCTCCATTTTCTTCAATATAGAATCTCAAATAAAAAAAAACTCCAATTGATAGCTGCAATTCCTTCATTATAATCTTTTCATACATTTCATAACTTTCTTATTTATAATTGATTAATGATGACCAACTGATGATGTTTTACCCCCGTATCCTCGCATTCTCTCGCGAGACTTGTGCATTTTCCAGCAAGAACTCTTCGAAGGGGAGTAACTCGTGGATGGTCGCGATAACACCTATTCTCTTCCATTATTGACACCAATCGCCAAAATTAGATTTTAGCGTGTTAAAACCCCGCCATACAGACCCAAAAATTGTGTTTGTGGGGCTACCGTGTTTTGCTTATATACTACGATATTAAATAAACAAACAGCGCTTGTTGCCCTACTTCCTACCGAACAGTTGATGCTGTTAAACATTTTGCTATGAGGAAGTGAAATCACTTTACTTTGACCTAGATTTAACAGACATGTGTCGTCGATGACGCCGAAGACGCTTAATCCATATTTTGCGTTAGTTGCTTGACGCTGATGTCGAATAGGGCTTTGCTAATACATCAGTATCCTTCGGGATACTTTCATGAATGCAGTACACTGTAACAGAAACAACCTCGTTATATCGATATGATAAACACACCTCGTGTATACGACACCAGGTAAAGCCATCAGCACCTCACAATGGTAAGGATCGGTAAATATAGGTTTTAAGTGATTGAGTTTGTGTCGGACACGCAATGTATTAAATCATCATTGGGTCTCAAAGGTGATGCAGATGTCTAAATCAATGAATGACATCATTGCTAGCTTGATGAAATAATTGCATAGTTTCGTTATAAAATCCTACTTTGTATGGTGACTTGCTGTTAATATATTTCCTCCATGCTCAACGAAATCGAACAAGGAAATTGTCTTAATTTGATACATTGTATGGCCTCCGTATACTATTTTTTGTGTGAAATCGTGTTCTAAACATATTTAACTTCATTTTCAATGTAAATTGAGGAAAGTATCTTGCATACGACACCAGGTAAATGCCATCCACCAACAGATCCCAGTGATTAGGAGCGTTACACGTATACGGTCCTTAATTGATTGCTTCTGTGTCGGGCATTCAGTGTAATCAAACAGCATTGGGTGGAAACGGTGCTGCGTATGTATACAACCAACTACCTACATCATTGCTAGCTAGATCAAACAAAATAGAAAAAGTCCATTGCACAGTTTCGTAATAGAACAAATTGGTAACCTGTCATTACGCAATTTTCTATATTTTTATTTTAAATATCTCTGATGCTTTATCTTTGGTATATTGATAACGATAGGTTAGAAATGATACTGGCTATTTATGTATTTAAATAAAGAGTTCATTATCGGTGAGCTTGATACGAGCCTTTTTTTTATATTTTTGTCAAAAACGACAAGTCATAAGAAATCTTTAAGCGATATTTTGAAACAACACAACTTAAAGTGTATTTTTTAATTGCCTGAATAGATATTCGGAAGAACCGAATATTAAAGTCTACATGCGATCATTATCATGGGGCCAGGTTCGCCCTGTGCTAACTCAGGAAGCCACGTCCTCTTGGCGAGACCTATATCTCCGCATGACTTCCAATACGCTATAAAACTAAAGCAGATACAGAAAAGAAAGGAAATGAAAAGAAACTAGAGGCGTGTCGAAGCTGTATGAAGGCAATGTAGTAAGTTGGTCGTAAACGATATAGCGCCCTTATACCTGTGGTTAAATGTTTTCTGACCAGCGATAACCACCAAACATTCTCGTTGAGGGTTGACTGTTAAACATTCTCGTACGGATTTCATACCTTCTCTTTTATGGGGGCGATAATAAGTATCCGCATCGTATAAAGCTAGCGAATACACAATTGCTAAGTACGATCTAACCTGAATCCAATTTACATGCAAATGTTATAATCAATCTCCTTCGTATAGATTCTGTTTGTTACCTTACAGCCATATATCAGATTGTGTATACTAACTATACTATATTCATCATATGGGTGATATTCCCACACGCTGAGTATCATAAATATTTCTGAAATAAGCTACAAATGCCTACATCCTTAATCGACTCTAGTCTTTCCAAAGAAATAAGCAGTAAAATACAAATTTTTTTCATAGAAAGAAAATATAATATGTCAATCAAACCGAATTTCAATACATGTTTTTTCTATCGTATTATTATTATAAACCATTACGAAAACAAAATATTTTCATTTATTGTAGTTCCTAAGCAACATCATGCCGACTAACTACAGAGGTCAAAAGTATTCGTCGATCCGGAGCGAGCACGTTAAAGCCGGAACGCTGTTTGAGGACCCGGAATTCAAAATCAACAACAAATCACTATTCTTTAGTAAGATTGATCAAGATATCGAGTGGAAAAGACCCAGGGTAAGTCACGTGAAATTGTGTCATAAAAACAAGAGATAGCGTTCTAAAAACAACACGGATTATTGTGTGATATAACTAGAATAAAACCTCAAAAATGTCGAAGTTTTCGGGACAAATAAAACTATTCGACTTATCCGACGGTTCGACTCTACCGGGTTGTAAAGTGTAGCGCACTCGTAAGACCCGAGATGTATTCCGTTAACTGTTATAGTACTGAATACTTTCAGTAAATAAACGTGTAATCGTCAGGTTTCCTGCAGTAAAATAAAACCAAAGATTTTATAGCAGTTTAATGAATTACAATATTCTCTACTTGCAAATACCGCACAAAATATAAATGCAAAGTTCATGTCTCAGTAGATAGATTGAATTATTTCAAATGCTACAAACTGACAACAGCTAATGGGAATTGATCAAATACCAAATTATCAGGAGAGGGTAGAGAACAGACCTGCAGTATACAACTGCATAATCGTAAGAGCGACCTATAAGGGATCATCTTCTGTGTTGACTGAGTTAGGGTCATTGTACACCACATATTGTATCTGCTGCACTACTGCAACACTGTGTGTCTTTTTTCTATGTCGTCTCTACTCTTCATCCAAATGTGTCTCATTCGGCATCCGTCTTCATTTGACCCGGGTTGTTTGAGGGCGTTAGGTCCCTAAAACTATATACATGATAAGAAAACAATAATACATAATGACACTCTCAGATTTATTTTTGCTGTTCCAGGAGCTGTGTAAGGTACCTAAGCTGGTGGTCGAGGGGGTCAGTTGTGATGACCTCAACCAAGGGGAGTTGGGGAACTCCTGGTTTGTCACCGCATGCGCCAGCCTCACTCTGGAAAAGAAACTGTTTGAACGGGTAACTGCTTAATTCGTGTTCGTTTGCTTTGTGCAATAATGAATCTCTTCTATTTTCGTTATTGCTGTCATTATATTTTCAGATATAACTTTAATTTGATTACCATGTTTACAATTATATTATAATTACTTTTATATCTTATGCACTTTCCTGATCATCAAAATAACCAGTAGCAATACTTATAAATTTTATGTAAGGGGAATATGTTAATTTCATTAGTATCGCAAAGTATTTTTGTACATTATGTTACTTAGAAACTATTTGTTACGACTAGATCATAGACTATTATACTATATAGTATGAAATTAACTCATTTTAAGTAACATGTTGTCCATGAGCTACTACTATTAAAACAAATGCTTTAAGCTTCCTATGCTTCCTCGAAAACAACGATTAAAATTATACTCTTTATATGTGAAAGGTATGTAATAGTCAAATAACGTTATTACATAATACCATATCAGAAGGAAGGATAAACAATATCAGAGTTATCCTTAATGTACCTAAGTGTACACATTTCGCTGCTTAATTAGGAATTATTGATATTCCGAGTACAATGGTATGAATAATCAAAACCCTGACCTTACTTCTGTACATCTATCAAACAATACGTTTCTCCTTTATACAAAATAATGTATACGTAACACACACAGTCGTTATTTTGGATATCTAATATATATTTTTTCTCAAGACATCATGTCTAATATAAGAATTAAGGACTTTTGTAACGGTTAAAACGGTGTTATATGGACCTGATGGAGTAATATTGACCTCGCACTGCCTTCTCGGTCGATATCGCTCCATCAGGTCTATATAACAACGTATTGACCTCGACAAAAGTCCATAATTTAGAAGTATTATACAGCTTGTATACCGTCTATACCTCTATGAAATTGATTGCTCTAGTGACAAATAGATAGTCCCTATGGATTGAATGAGTCTGATTCAAAGTCATTAATCATAAATTAATTCACTGGATTTATATATTTGTATGGAAAATATATAGTTTAACTCATCAGCATTTCCATATCCAGTTCCTTAAATACTTTTTTCAAAGTGCTGGTTTAATAAAAATAAGCTTTCGTTGTATAGCTGCTTCTAAAGAACAATTACAAAACTGTCACTGTTGATCTGCAATTACTATATTTTTGCAATGGGCCCTCATAAACATCAGCAAAGCACTTAAGTGTCATTACAGGGTGGTTTCTGTCATCTGTTAGGTTTATTCACCAGACTTCCTGTAGTCTAACTTGGTCAAAATTAATTGAGGCTGTTAATGTTCCTGATTACAGCAACAGAGACAAATTACACTCCATCTCTCCCTATAAACCTAGTAACAAAGCTAACATTAAGACTCTGGCTACACCATCTTTACCTAATATAAAAATTGTTTATAACACAAGCTATATAAAACTTTATACACTGGAACATGGCTTTACTCTCAAATTTGACATGTCCTCACAAATATTTTGTTAGAGAAAAATAATGATTTAGCATGGCATGGTTATTTGGCGAGTGGTGTATGTAGGTCACTTAATAAACAGGCACACGAAGGTATGGGACATCAATGAGAGAGCTGCAGATCACGGGACATATTAAACAGCAGCTTATTCCCAGCACGTCTGCTATATCATATAATATCATATAATATAAAACAAATCTTTTATTTATTATAGTATATAATATGAAGGCAGGGGCTGTCCCAAGCGCCTGCTCTCAGGATTGGAACCTGTGATAGTTTGTTTTAATTTATTGATATATTACGTATTATAACTGTCTTAACAAACTTATGATATAATGTCTGTATATTTTTACAGTTAGATGATCGATCCCTGCTTTTAACTATATGTTTTATAGTGTGTAACTACATACGTGTACGATGTAATTGTGATATAATTATGACACTTTTATAAACAAAATTGACTTGACTTAACTATATATCATCTTATATGCATTTAATCTTCATTATTTCTACATAATATTTAGATTTTTTTTTTTTTTTTTATTTCATTTTTTATTCGAAGTAAGAACGTTGACATTGTATCAAAGATTTATTAACATGATAGCGTGTTAATATTAAGTTAGATGAAGCGATTAGGTACGGGATATCATTATTCAGATATCGTAGAATGCGCAAAAACGTACAGGCTACATTAATATATGCAATACTATTAAATACATCCCAGATGACCTGACATTATATGCTATGAGATGCCACACTGATACACTGACGTGTGGGCTCCCGTAGATATATCCTTCCTATCACACGTTTGTTATAAAGGTTCAAACCCTGAATGACTTTTATTTAAAGGTCTCCATGCCGGATTAGTCGGCCGTGTATTGCTTACAATCGATAACAGTACCTGTGGTATGGACATTGTGTATTTGACAGGTTGTATATTGAACAGGTGAAAACTCATTAACGTGTCCGCGTTAACATTCCTGTATTGGACCTTTCCGTATGGTTTAAATGTTTACCGATTTACCTGTGTCATTGGTGAAGTATTGCTTACTATAATGTTAGTCCATTCTATATAGATTGTATACGATCAGATAACACCAACGATTTATTTACACGTCAATAAATCTTACATTTAAAAATATGTAAACATTTTGAGGAAAATAATGTTAAATGTTAATACTGAAAAGGTCAGATATAAAGTGCCAGCTTTATAATATAGTAAGAGTTACATGTGTTGAATGGAATATCTTATTTTTATTAGCACTTACATCCAACCCTGTTATCTATTCAGATATGCGATATAGGCTGAGAACATACTGAGGTATTTATTTCAACGATTATATTATGAATAAACGTAAGACTAGAATAAAGGTAAATATTCCTGTACCTGTGTGTAATTTAGTACAAAGAAAAAATAACTGCAAATGGATATAATATATACGATATGTACTTTAAAATGTCTCACTTGGGTTCTGGGGTTGGTTTTGCGGGCAGGTTTTCTTGTTTTTTATACATATCTAGCTGGATGACTAAGCCAAGCAGCTGATGCTACCGTGAATGGGGAAAAGGCTTGTGTACAAGATAACTGATAGAAAAGAGCTTGATCTGGATTTGTAAATCTTTTCACATGGGGTTCACGAATTTTGAGGGTTTAGACTGTTGATCTTCAATTAATACATTTTTGCAATGAGCCCACATAAACATCAGCAAAGCACTTAAGTGTCATTACAAGGTGGTTTCTGTCATCTGTTAGGTATATTCACCAGACTTCCTGTAGCATAACCTGGTCCTGTTAATGTTCCTGATTACACCAACAAATACAAATTCCACTCCATCTCTCCCTATAAACCTAGTGACAAAGTTAGCAGTGAGACTCTGGCTACACCTTCTGTTAGCCCACAGGTATGTGACCGTTGGCCTCTTGTTTATATTGTTTTAAAGTTACAAGAAGGAGAAATGATAAAGGAGAGCAAAATTTTACATAATTGGTTTTTTCTGTTTAATCACGTGTTTTCGGTGTTCGCCGCCAGGTGGTGCCTAATACGAAGGAGCAGGACTGGAATGAGCGGGAGGAGAAGAACACGTATGGTGGTGTGTTCCACTTCGTGTTATGGCGGTACGGGGAGTGGATTGACGTCGTAGTGGACGATAGGCTGCCAACCAAGAACGGCAAGCTGGTGTTCTGTCACTCCAAGTCCCGCAACGAGTTCTGGTCCGCTCTACTGGAAAAGGCGTACGCCAAGTGAGTAGCAAAAACTGTCAAAAGAAATACATCCGTTTTAATAATGACTTAGTGCTTCTTATATATACAATCATAAATTATGCACCAGTTTTTGATAGAATTTTTCTCACCAAATTTTTAGTGTATATTCTTTATCTGATAATCCAGCGTTACGTAAACGCTATCACTACAGTGACATTTCAAGTACATAGATACTTATTGACAAAATACAATATAGCTACTGTTAACACAAAATTGTGACATGTTGCTTTTTTGATGATGTAAAGAAAATACATTTTAATACCAAAAACAATATTTGAAGATGAAATATATACAAAAATCAACTCTCTGTATAAATATATCAGAACTCAGGTGACCGTGACTGTAATATCTGTTATTTTGCTTCACATAATGAGACAAATTTAATACACGTAACCTTTAATCTAGACGATGTGCAATGTAAACAATCAGATGACATATTTTTAAAATCAAATAAATGCTGATCGTTTAGTCTGGTGCAACAGTATACAACAATGAAATGAAAAAATCCAAGAAAACCCCAATTATATTTTTAAACAATAAAATTACAGAGAAAGATCAACCGGTGTTAGTTTAAAATTAACCCCTTGTATTTTATATGTATCTTCCATTACGATTCCAGGTTATATGGGGATTACGAGTCCCTCAACACCGGACGGACGGCTGACGCACTGGTAGACTTTACCGGTGGGGTGGCGGAGAAGCTTGCAATGGCGAGAATTAACATTGACGACAAGAACATAAAAAAGCAGTTGTTTCTCAAGCTGAAGGACGCAAGCGACAACAGAGCACTCATGAACTGCAATATAGATGTAATTATCTATCATGTTCGTTCATTGTGACCATTATAAAAGTTCGTTAGTGATTTCATTTTCATCTCTTTCAAAGTTTTACATTTCATATTGTACAACATAGCTTTACACATTCATGAAAACATTGAAAAGACCAAACTTACACTCATTCATATCTACACGCATACACAGGTGCATACCTATAATACTAGTACAAGAACAGTTCCACATTGACGTACATGAATAATAACCATACACATAACATTACAAATAAAAACTTAAAGCCAATGAGAAACACATAACTATAGACAGGAAGTGTATTGTCAGTGAGGGTTTTAGTGTATATATTATTAAAATATTTACATTAGTCAAAAACATGAAGTGATCAAAATCTATGGTATCCATGATTTATAAAGAGATGTAAGGTAGAGAGAACGTTTCATCATAATCTGCATTGTAATAGGTTTAATAAGCGTGACAGACAATCAGTATTTTCCATGATACAGGTAAAAATCAAGTATTATCAATTTTGCACAATTGCACAATGTATGGCTTAGTATGTAACTAAACATGTTATTATCAGTGTTGGCAGTGATATATTGAAGGGGATATGTTTGGCTGAATTGCCAAGTATCATATATCGTGAGAGTTTTGCCGCGTAAGGATCTGTGTCGCAATAATATCTCGTGAGTTAATATTTGTGCGAAGCTAAAAAAACTTTCTTGTAGCATTATCACATTTTCATTCACGATAATTTAAGGGAATAGATAGAGATAAGGATCATGAGAGTTTATAAAAGGTTGTTTGGGTGCGTGCGGCACTCTATTGACCTGTATGACCTACATTTCTTTCCTCAGTGTCAGAGGACGGAGGTTGGCAAGGAGACCCCCCAGGGTTTGGTTCTGGGTCACGGTTACAACATCACAAAGGTGGCTGAGATTGTTATAGATAAGAAACTGCAGGGCGCGGTGGGGAGTCCTGTTCTCAATATGGTCCGAATGGCCAACCCCTGGGGAACCATGGAGTGGACAGGCGCCTGGTCTGACGAGTAAGTCACAATAGTGTCTTTGATTTGGTCAACAAATTAGAGAATACCAAAGCGTCAGCAAACTTGTAATTCGAACTGAATATTAATAATAGTAGGACAAAAGTTAACAAAGGAAAGATTAATATGGAGAGTCATGACTTTTTTCGAAAAAGTACAAGAAATATAAGACCAGGTGTTTCGGAAGAGTAGGTGTTTCCATACATTCAAAATCACTTTTTTAAAGCTACCTCATGCATATATATCTACCATGTGTGTGTTTATATAGATGTTGACAACTCGAATCACATTTCCAACACACATGCTTAACGTTTTATTGTATATACTTGTCTAGAATAAATATGGACATTCACTGTAGTTCCAGGCTTTCTATCATAACCCTTTACCAGAGAGATATCGGTTAACAGTTATCGCTCTTATGTCACGTCCATATTTATTGTAGGAACATAGCAGATAGACATTTTATAGGATATGTTCAACTATAGCAATACAAGTCATTATGACAATTCCTATCTCATCCCTTAAGGGAGGTAATCTTTACATACATATTCTAACATATTGTCATGGTGTTATGAACATGTTAATTATTTTTTGCAGCGCTCCAGAATGGAACAAAATCAACCGATCTGAATGGCACAAACTTGGTTTGAAGTTTGAACAGGAAGGCGAATTTTGGTAAGGATTATGATTAATGTTATGATTATGATATATATTTTTTTTCAAAAAAATATGGAAAGGCAAAGTCTTAAAAGAGCGTAGCTTTTGTTGATCTCTGATATTTACTGATTCAGAATACTGCTTTAAGAATGAGATAAGATAAACTTTATTTAAAGTCGGCTAGTCGAGGAAGAACAATAAAACACAAGCTCTAATGAGATTAAGACCGACATAACAATAGAGGAGATAGGGGCAAGTCCGTTCTGGGAAGTATGGCAGCACGTCCGTTTTTTAACCGAACGAGCCCCGCCATGGGTAAGTTTAGACAGGCATTCGGGTAAGTTCGACCCCCATTGGAATCATCTTAATTATGACGTCATAAAGCATGCAACGTCAGATTTAACCGCCAATTTTACGACTGTTTATGTGTTGCATGGGCCGAACTTGCCACGGTATCATTGGCCAAACCTGTCCGGGCCCAAATTGATATTTCGATAAATTCTTATCGTACAGCAATATGGAAGTGAGTGCTTGGCTTGGCTTTCCTGTATAGCATTTGAAGCTGTCAGTGTGTTACACGTTTGACCGTAAAAAAAGTAGAAATTCCGAATATAGAAAGTTCGCATAACTAGAAGCGAGATTATGATTTTCTTTTTAACCCCTCAAATGTAATTTTCTTATGTTTAGTAATTTTACATTAGAGTTTTTCTCGCCATTTTTTCGTGTAAATGTCCAGCCAACTAAGCTGCTAAGATCCTTAAAGTTAGAAATATAAGCTCATAAACAAAAATATCAGGGGTGGCCGAACTTGCCCGGTCTCTCGTATGTAATTGTTTCGTATCATTGATGATTGGTAAAAATGTATTCACAATATAATTTTTGCATCAATGACGCCATTTTCTTCAAGTCAAAGCTAAAGTAGAATTTGTTCTTGTGCGTAGAGTATATGATGGGTCGGGTGGCGCAGTGGATAGCGCGCTCGTCATCACCAAGATAGCCGGATTCAATCCCGGTCACTTGCCCGACCACGCGGGTTTTCTCCGGATACTCCAGCTTCCTCCCACATTAAGAACTGAATCCTCTGCGTGCTTCGGTCAGGGCAAAAAAAGAATTAATTAATATATTGTTAAAAAAACTGTTTGGTAATTGCTATAGAAAAAGTGCATATTTTATATTTGACGATAAGTCTAAGTAAATGTATAGAGATGTTAGTTAAAAAAGAAAAAAGAAAAAAAAGAAAACATTGTAATACTTTAATGTAACTGAGATTGTCTTTATAACGATATGTAGTCTCAATTCCTGTTCTATTCTGAAACACCGGATTGAATTTCAAATTTTGTAACTGGTACTGAGGTGTGACAGGTAGTGATGCCAAATAAAATTAAACAGTTTCTGTCTGTAACTAGTTATAAATCGGCACGCGTTGTGTAATACGTTGCTGAAAAAAGGGCGATGAACTCGGGTTGGTTGTCTGGAAAATTATTGTTGATTGGGCATAAATGCATTATCAATTGTTTCTTTTATGATGCATAAATAATCAAGCAATAAAACATGAGAATTGTTTTCACTATATGTAGATGTTCAGTGCATCTAGACACAATTGTCTTTGTTTCAAGGATACACTTCCAGTTTCCCCACTGGACGTCTACTTCTGGACGAAAAAAAATAAAAGCAATGTGTAGCAAGGGGAAGCAACTCTGTTTACGCACGCATATGTTACCATTGAAGAGCTTCGCTCTTATTAAAGACACCCGTTTCGTCTCGTAGAAGATCTATTATGATATAGCAAGTCAATTTAAAACACTATTTGCTTATCGATTAATGTTTTTCTATTGCAGGATGAACTTTGACGACTTTGTTGTAAATTTTACAAATGTTGACATATGTCACTTTGTAAACACTGCCATATTCAGCCTAAAGAAATCCTGGAATGAATGTGTGTTTCACAGCGAATGGACATATTCCGGTAGAAACGGTGGGAACGACTACAATAGCCCCACCTTCCTTAGTAACCCACAGGTATCGGCATAGTTACATACACGTCGTTCGACATTTATTGACACTTTTACCAATAGCAGGTGTACTTAACCGGTTAAAAAACAATACTGTTGGGTGGGTAGCAGATGTCACAAAAATGTTGCCGTATTAATTATTGTTTTTGACTGTTTACGTCATTATTATTTTATTTTACGAAACAATTAAAGTTGCTACAATCAGTACACAGTGTTATAAGATCAAAAAACGCCTGAACAGCCAGTTACAATTTTAAGTAAGTATTTTTTTAAATGTTTGATTCCTAAAGCAACATCTTTATTTTATCTGTCTACAGTACGTATTTGATGTTGCCGGTATGAGTGACAACGTTATGTTCTCACTAGAACAACAGGACATCGTTCATGGTCAAGAATCCGGCCGCAAACTCAACCACATCGGCTTCCAGGTGATGAAGGTAAGATTCTCTTGAATGGTATTGAAGTAAAGGGTCGTAAAATATCAGCAACAACGTCACAATATCTCACTTCCCGCGTTATACAATTATTAACATTTTCATAACCTCTTGTAAATACACGTGACAGCAATAGACAATGATATATCAAAGTGGACATTTTGAAGACAATTTCGATTGTTTTGTTTTCAGTTTTATCATGCTGCATGTCCACGCTAAATGTTTTTGAATACCAAATTTCCATTTTGACCTCCCCACCTTATGTGTTAAATACATGAGTTATCATGAAATGAAGCACCTATTTGAAAATGTTTTTTATATTTATAATTTTATATAATTTATAATGTAATGGTATATTTTTAATTTCATATAATTTATAATGTAATGGTATATTTATAATTTTATATAACTTATAACGTGTATTTTTAATTTTATATAATTGATAATGTAATGGTATATTTTTAATTTTATATAATTTATAATGTAATGGTATATTTTTAATTTTATATAATTTATAATGTAATGGCATATTTATAATTTTATATAATTTATAATGTAATGGTATATTTTTAATTTTATATAATTTATAATGTAATGGTATATTTTTAATTTTATATAATTTATAATGTAATGGTATATTTTTTTATTTGTCTCAATTGAATGCTAAAACATTTATATCGGAATACACAAATATATCATAAATGACAGCTGAATGTCTGTGTTAGATATATCATAAATAATCGCTGCATGTCTGTGTTAGATATATCAGAAGAAATTTATATTTCTTTAAAAGTTCTATTCAGAAAACCGGTGTATTGACACGATATCTAGATTTCCTGCAAAAGAAAAGTGTGCAAACAAATTGAAATGTGTCTTTCTAATATGAAACATAATGTGTTCTTTATTGTTGTTGATTTTGTTTTGATTTTATTATTACAGGTAGAAGAAAATCGAAAATTCAGAGTCCATATACCTGGAGAAAAAATGTACTGTTCGGAATACATCGCCGATCGTAGTATATATGGCATAATAAACTTAAAGAAAGGGCGATACGTTGTGTTACCCACGACCACAGACTCTAAAGAGTTAGGTCCATTTATGCTGCGGATGTACACTGGCAGCAAAGCCTCAGGAAGGTAGGTTATGTCCCTTTTCAAAATGTATCTTAATTTCTTAATATTTAGGCTGTTTAACGACATATCAAATTAAGCAACTGGCTGAAACTGGCTAATACAAAACACCTCTGATATGAAAAGCACCAAAAAAATACTATGCAAGTTTACTTAGTTTACTAATATTAACTGTTTGGTAAAAATGCCTCGCTTTTATTGCGTATTTAGATTTTGATATATTGCTTCTTATAGAAAGCTTACCTTTCATAATGCTTACAGCATCTCGTCAACATTTTGGTTGAAGTATATTGCGCATAATCACTACATTCAATTCTTCGTGGAGGAGTCCCATTATATGAAATAAAATGTAAATTATACCGTATATCAGAATTGTATTCGCAAGCACAAGTATTTTCGCTTTATTCAATAAATGATTAATTGGCACAATAATAGAACGCGAATGTTTGGCCACATTCGACAATCGACGCAAAAAAGTCCAAAGCTGAAAATTTAATCTTGAACAAGTTTGCGAATTTGGTGTCACACATAAAACCCCTGATATATGGTGTTCTATAAACGGTACCTACGCATTGATATGATACCCTCTGCCATTTTCTACTAACATCACATTTGATTAAATGCATTCGTGTAGTGGCAAGTTTGCATCACCAAGGTATGTATACTAACATAACATCAGTATGATTCATTGTATTGCCATTGTATTGATATTGTATTGACATAGTATTGACATTGTATTGATATTGTATTGATATTGTATTGCATGTTAGCATCTCTCGTGCTGTTTAGTAAGAGTGGCTTGTTTATGTTGCTATATGTTGTGTTGTTTGAAGTAGTTTGAAGTGCCTATTATCGTGATATTTTTTTTATATTTTGATAAATTTAGCCACAGGAAAACATACTGTATACCGGGATATTTTCGTTATAAAAGCGTCTTCTTCTTAAACAACGTAAACCTAGATAAAATGTCACGTTCTCACATGGAAAATTTGGGAAGTGACAACAATACCATAAGGCGCTCTAATGAGCCTAATCAGAACATCGACTTTCATCTCACATAAAGAAATAGCATATTTCCCTGCGAAATCCTGATGGGGACCATAAAACGTGTCCATAATCTTCATCAACTTTGTGTGTTTATCTTCGTCTGTTAGTGGTCGACATATATCACGGAAGTCAGACGATGATATTAATTGAATTGTTCAACATTTCAATTCTCCTTTAAATTCTATAATTTCCACCTTTAAATAAAGACGAGGTCCATGGGCCTTAACGGTCACCTGAGTCCTACAGTATTTATTTTTGTTGTTGAAATATGAAGATAATGATGTCAATTTCAGTTAAATAGGCCAATGAGAACTGTTTAAAGTTTGAAATAGCATTTTTTTCAAAATGGCGGCCGTTGCAGCCATACTGGATTTCTGATTGATCCGCAAAATAACAACACTTTATCAGGAGCATGAGTCGATAAATCCTACAAAATTTTAGTAAAATCGGCACAGTAGAACTTGATTTTAAGTTTTAAATGGTTTTTCGAAATGGCGGCCGTGGCGGCCATATTGGATTTCTGGTTGACTCGATCAATAACAACACATTGTCAGAGAGATGTCAGTCACATTCGCATGAAATATCAATGAAACACCTTCGACAGTATTTCAGCATAAGTTAAAAATGTAAAATGTTAACGGACGACGCACGATGACGGACGAAGACGGATAGCAATAGGTCACTTGAGCTAAAGCTCAGGTGACCTCAAAACTTAAATTGGTAGTCATTTACTTCATTATATTTCGATTGAACACCCGAATTTCAAATTATAACTTAATAACGTATTACTGTCTCACATTCAAATTCAGAGATACTTCCAGTATATATATATATATGTATATATAACACCAGGAATATGGTTCTTTTATTTAGTATATGTAATACCAGATAAACATTAGATAATCATCTAATAAAGGAATTATTATCAGACGAACCCAAATATTGCTGTACCCTGCGGCTTTGGCTTGTTGTTATCCCACTGCATGTTAATGTAAAAAGCGACCTATCTGCGATTTTCTTCTGTGTCGTCTGCCAAGGGGGCATGGAGGACATCAAAACTGTTCTTCTGGCCTGACGTTACTCTCACAAACAAATGACGTAACAATCAATACCTGCTCAGAAGAGCAGATAACTCTGCAATACGCAAAGACGTCGATTCTTTTTTTCCTTAGTGTCGCCTTTGTGTCACCCGTCCACCTTAGCTGATTGGAGGACTTTTAACGCCATACAAACAAACAACCGAACAAACACATAATGCTCCGATTCCTTTTTTTATACATGTGTATTGATGATTTTCATTCTTCAGAGTATGTAAACAAGTATCCGTACACCTAACTATGCAAATTTATAGATCCATATATTCATGTTCGTGACATATTAGAGACGTACAAAGTGAAAACACCATATGTTGTCCTTCTCGATCCTATAAAGTTATAAAGGCAGCTTTCCCCATACGCTGTATTTCTATTTATTTCCAAATACTTAAGACATGGATTTGCATTCTATTGACATGTCATTCACTTGATGAGTCATAATTGATGAATCATCAATGGACGAAATTGTCTTATTGTTCAATCATTTACATTATAAGGTTTTCTCCATTGAAACGCTATTTTGGTAAGTGAGCATACTTTGTATTTCTAGTGACAATTGTACAGAACTGTTATGCGAGTGAGTGAGTGAGTGAGTACTAGATCAGAAACCTTGCACAGAAATAATACTTAGTTCGTTTTGAACACAAAAAGGAATTGAATACTTATTTTGCGAACTTTTGAAAAGGTCAATATCCTTTTGCAAGCAAAGAGTGTCAAATCACACAGACTTCTTGACTTTTATCACAATGCTTTAAGTATTTTTGTCTTTTCCGACACAGGGAGCTTGACAAGGAGTGCCCGTCTGCCGGCTGTCCTTGTACGGCCAACGCTAAACTCGTCACCACCCTTCATGTGACGGGCGCAGAAGGACTGGAGCTCCCTACCGGTTCAAAGGTCAAAAGTAAGTTTAAAGATTGTGAGATTGAGGGTTTAACTCTGATTGATAAAACAATAAGTTGGTTGGTTAAAAGAAACTGCCTTTGGATATGGAATAAACTGCCTATATGTTTGCATGATTCATCCACTGTGGTGAACAAGGTGCCGTAAACCTGGCTGAGCCGGTAAGCCCCCTGATCTCTGTTCATAACGGGCCCCTGTTTTCTGATCTGGATGGCTTCCACCACAGTGGTAAACAAGGGGGAGTAACTCCCATATCACTAACGTCACCAGTGACCAAGCTGGCAGAATGTCAGCGAAACTGTCTGGGTAAAAGCATCGTTTTACATAGCAGTGACTCGATGAACCTTGCAAATATACATTACATTCCTGCTAAATGAATCTTTTCAGTTAACAGCCTACAGTAAACGTTAATTATGGAGTCTTGTGTCTGTATTCTCACGTTACTTTTGTTGAGTTTATTTCAAATCAAATTTTATTTTTCTACGTTCCAGCAATTGACACATTCGTCATTATTAAATGTGAAGGCGAGAAAGTGACGTCACAGACCTGTGCTAACACAGCCAAACCGAGCTGGGAAATCAAGACTACCTTCTATAGGAAAAAGCCCGAGGAACCCATCCTGGTGGAGGTATGCAGGGGCGTTTCTAGGATATTTGAAAGAGGGGGGTTAGAATAAAACATTTTATTTGGACTTTTTTTTGCTAAAAGACAAAATAATTGTGGAATGCACTAATGTAACGGTTCCTGACTTGGAGCATGTATATTTTATAGTTTAAGTGTCAGGGTGTTTATGTGTTTAATTAATGAATATGATAAATTGCCATATTTAATACAATATTAGCAGATTACGATAGGTTTTTTGGGTTTCTTTTTTTTCACCTGGACCCTGGTTTGGCATTCGTGATCCTTGGATATTTTCTAATATAACAGTATTCGTAGTGAAATATCCTTGCCTCATCTTAGAACTTTGACCCCAGCCATAACTATTGAATGACGTCATGTCAACAGCGCGTTGACTTCATAACGTGAACATTTAAAGACATGGCCAAAACTTAAAAAGAAATATTTCCCCTTTGGGTTAAGAGAATCGTGATTTTCAAATAGTAGCTGCTTACCGTCGTGCATGTTTCTGCTTGATTGTGACACATGTTTATGTAAAAAGTGTGTGTGGTGCAAACACAGTGGCGTGTATATACCACGCTTTGTTATATAAGCTTTAAGTCCAATATTAGGTGAGATGCTTCACAATATAGTAATAATTCAACCCGAATTCGTGAAAGCGTCCTTGTGCTCAAGCATGAATTCTGCACTCAAACCATCTATCCTTTAACTCGTTTAAATCAGGTCACTCGGCCTAAAGTCAAACGTAAACATAGAAACCCGTATTAGGTATCTCCTAAAAGTCTTCCGAATCATTCCCAAAATGTGGATGTTTCTTATTTCATCATCGGAACAAGAAATCGGGCATGATCACAGAATCTGAGTTTGAGCATGAGAACGGTTTCATGAATACGGCCCCAGGAAATAAATAATTGAGAAACACCAATGTCTATTTGCCTTTTAAATCTAACTATAATCCCATATCATTTTAAATAGTTTTGATATACTTTTTGCATGGGATTGTTCACATTTTTACAGGTGTGGAACGACAACGTGCTCATAGACGACTGCCTGGGGGAGGCTCGCGTGTCGGAGGAAGGATCTGAGGAAGGGGACATAACAACTGTTGACATCATGGGCAGAAAGAAAGAAAAGGAAATCCATAAAGGCAAACTCCACATTTTTATACGTTCAAGTCACGATCTACAGTATTTGTGAAGATTGGATGGATGTTGTTATATCTATATTTATTATCAATCTGAGGATTGGGACTATCTGTTAAATATTAGGTCTTTTCACAATCAAGTCAGTTCTGTTGTGGAGCAGTCAGGAGATAGACATGTTTGAAAATCATCCAATACGTCTGTTTTAGAAGACAATTTTGGCGTGCTAAATCCTCTCCGTCAAAGCCACATAAACTATAACCATGCAGGGTACGTACGATTCTTATAGTATCTTATATATATCACTAGTTTATATAAGAAGCATAGTTCCACCAGGTGTTTACACTTAACAAATGGTTGTAATATGTGATCTTGATATAGATATAATCTTCACCGCAAGCACGGATTACATTATCATCTTTATCATATGAGAGGTCTGTTTCTAAAAGTGCACCTTGTGAACAATTTCAGTGTAAAGGAAAGCTCCTTTACATCAGAAAACCTTCAGCCTTAATACTTTCCAAAAATTGTTTAGTACTTATGAAATCTGAAAAGTATTTTGATGAGAACCGGATCATGTTCTTTACTCTTCCCACGTTGCCATTAATGCTATATTCAGACTGAGCCAAAACACCAAAATGATTTGCTGACCCAAGCAGATTCAAGAAGATCTTTATCTTTCATTTTTTATTGTATTTTCCTTTTAACGATAGCGAGACCTGGCGAAAGGCTTTAAATTAATAGAGAGTGTATATTTTAAAGTGTCTGGGCGTGCTACCAGGTGTTTTATCAATTGAACGGCATAATCCCATAGAAAAGTATGAATTTATTATTTTTGTAGGAAAACCACCATAACCTAACATAGGCTTAGATACTAATTGAAAATAACTTCAGAATTTAAAAATTTATCAGATGAATGAATTACATGTGTTTATGTGGCACTCAATAATTAGACAAAAGTCGTTTAACCCTTTCACACATATGGAACTTTAATAGACTCTTCCATACATTTAAATGGATGAGTCCAATATGGAATACAGTGGTGAAGGACACTGAATAATATCTATATCTTCAGTAGACATTCTCTGATGCATATACACTTACTAATGAACAATAGAATGCTGAATTCAGTTACATAGTATATTAAATACTGTAGCCTATGTGATAACACTGTATATGAATGCGTTTCTGTAGATACTGATGTATGTGTATATAATAGCATATACAATACCTAAAGAATTCATCACTTTATCATATGTGATAGTAGTGTATGGTTGCGTCTCTGTAGATAATTAACTGATACACACAATGTATACAACTTAAGTCCCTATCACTGGTCATTGTGTGATGGGGTGTTATGTAAAGGTATTTGTACTGTATTGCTTTGTTTCTGTAAATAACACATTCATACATATGCTCACTAGTTTAAATGGAAAAACAAACTTATTTTATTGGTTGTTTTATAAATAGTTCTGTTGTGTTGACCTATCAAATCTTCATTTTTCATATTACTTTGATTGCAGATTCCGTCCAATAATATATTGAAAAATATTGAAAATATATTTATAGTAACTGTTTACACATAATTATGTTATTTTTTTCTACAAGGTAACTTATCAGAAAATCGTGAGAGATATTGCAATTTTACAATATTTGATATAAACTTTCCATTTCATATGTACTATTGTATTGATACAGTAACATTCTTAACTCTTTCTCGATTATAAAGCTATTTCTGTGATAAATCTTGGATAATTCTCATTGTAAACTTTACAAATATTATATTTTTTTATTACTTAGACACGAGTGTATATATAGTATGTGTCTATTGTTTAAGTCCACCTGACCACCTGACCACCTGACCACCTGACCACTTGACCACTTGACCACCTCTATTATGCGACCGTTCATGTTTAGAGACCACTTTTACCACTCCCCATTGTAGAGATATCATTGTGAACCGAACTTGCATCAAGAGGCCACTTTGAATTCTCCGGAGATAGGTGAAGGTGGTCTCTTAATATTGGTATGACTATAGTATTTAATTCACGAGGGTTTGTTTGCCTTTTGAAAAAAAATGCGAGTTTTAAACTGAACTCATTTTCAACCCGCTTTACTAGAATAAGGATTAAAGGAAAGTTTTCAACATCCATGCCAGGATGATCGCGAATCGGCTACGACAATATTTCATATAGTCCGAGGATTTTATATTAAATATTGATGTAGAGTATTTGCATTCATGCCGTCATGAATATTAAGGGAACTCCGTACATTAAGTGTATTTACTTGTATAGGATTATTAGATATATTAATATAACTTCTTTCATAGTTTTGTTCTTTAAGTTTCTGTAACGTCAGTCAAAACGACAATCTGGGAAAATCCTAACGTAAAATTGAAAACTGAACTGACTTGCATTATTCGAGGCAGAAGGGTCAAAGTGATACCTCTATGATTACACTCTCTTCTCTGGCAGTCGTTACACGGACTCGCTGTGAAAATGCAAATTTTCATGTGTGTTGTACATTATTTTGTTAGAATCTGTAGTTTGTATTTAAATGCAAATTTCTTTAAAAAGACATATACAACATACGTACTTAAATTGAGAGGCCGTTATTCCCTTATGTAACAATGTATCACTGTGCATCTGGGAAATTCGAGTAGTATTTTATGTGAATCTATGGGGAGGTGATTGCGCTTGACTGGAATGAAGATTTGCAGTCGGATCATGTTCAAAGCACGCCAACACGCATAGATTCGCATAACTCATTAGTAATTTGAATATATGCAAATTGGAAAGGATCCATGTTTACCAGATTTCAGGAGCTTTTTCAAGTAATCTGATAGAAGCAATAATTATAATGTTGTGTGCATTATGTCAATGCGATAATTTTAAATCCCAAAACTTATTTTTGTTGTCGTTAAATTATCAAATACTACAAAAGTGTGATTTTACCTGATGTAACTTCAATCTAACGTACAAGGTGTGTTATGTCTGTAATGATTTGTATATAATATAACTTTGATGATAATGTTGTAAGTAAAATGTGATATAGCTGTTTTATTGAATTTTGTATGTCTATTCAAATCATAGACATTTATCTATGCCAATGTGGTTGACACTTGTTAATACAAGCTATGGAAGCACAGACAAGTGTTTAAACAAAGGTAATGTCTTGATATTGTTTCCGTGAAATCATCAGACATGCTGTTTATATCGATTTCCTGTTTCAATGATGACATCGAGGTATCAAGGATTCGATTATTCAGAACTTTATGTCAAACAGGTCTAGTAAATATGAAAAGGAAAGGAATAAGAAACAGTGCATATTTTTTTCAATTATTACGTTTATAAAAATGGCCATGTATATCATACAATACTTCTTTTCTACCTTATCTTACAATTGTCATGTGATTTCTTACTGTGATAACGCGGTTTTTTATCGTTAATTTATATTTATTTACATAGTATAAGTTATATTACCAGGACGTGTGTCTCTTGACAACAAATGTATATTGTTACAAAAACAGATTTCAAAATATCATGCATCATTTGAGAACTATTTTGAATAAAATAAAACTTGTAGAAGTGTTACTGAAACGTGTTTGTTTTGTTTGTTTATCTTTGCAGAGACTTCTAATATACGTGTAGTGTAACAAAGCAGCCCGAGTTATTTGTGTGCAAAGACATTATTGCGCAGAACGTGTGAGGGGAATCTGTATAAAATTTCGACTGGGCTCACGTTTTGATGAAATATTTTCATTGAATGCCTCTTTCATACAATAATTTACCAAATCTTGACAACTCTTCTGACAGTTTTACCTTTTTTTATTATTAAATTGCAAAACGACTTGTTTCAAAACAATGGCATTTCTTAAAACCATGACCGGAACAAGAAACATATGTTTATATTTTAGACTGACTTTCATTCTGTATACCTTGTAACATATTACAACATTACTCTTCACAGCCATGGGAGAATAACTCGTACCCACAATTTCTCAAGGCGGACATATCACACACTCAGGTAAATATTACTCCGCGGCTTACAACAATTACACTTTGTCATGTAACCAAATTGGTACACTGTGTTCATACTAAACTTACAAAAGTAATGAAATGACCCTTTGGTTTTGCAAATGTCTGGGAAAAAAACATTTGTTTTGATATATACATTGTTTCATTTTTACAAGAAAAGTAAAAACAACTAGCCTGTTGTACGCGGGAGTTTTCATCAAACTATATGATAGTCAACGCTGCGTCCATACTAGCAAATCCACACCAACTTGCATTCACTCCAGTTAAGCACTTCGACACTAAGAAATTTGTGCATGCTCAACTAGAGTTAACACCGCGTCACCAGTCGAAATAAAACATATGCATTAAATAAGGAGCATTACCATGTGGACAAAGGCATCATATATATCATGATTGTGGTATATTTAGATGACATCATGACAACTAACAAATACCTAAAGTGAAAAAGAATCTATTTTCATATTATTTTAATGACATTTGATTTCATGGCTTTGTCGACATCATTTAATTATTCATACGATGTTGTTGTCATAGATCACCGCAAAAAGCACTCGCGATTGTTTCTAGTGTTCCGGTAAAAAGAACATGCCACACATATAAACAACAAAAGGTCTGTTTGAATTACAATTTGTAACATTTTACCCAGATGAATAATTCAAAAGATACTGTTTGATAGATTTTATACAGACATTCATTAAATTATCCCATTCGGAAATTGTTCACGTCGTACATTTTTAACTACCGTCAAAATGGTATGATTTCTGTTGGATATTTATAAATACATCTAAAATTGCAATCCGTGTAATAAAGAGTCATCGAAATATAGCGATCCGAAATAAATAATCTTAGGCTTAAAAAGCATCATTGTTCTATGATGAATGGAATCCATAGCGAGTTTTCAAATGTAGCAATAAATATAGCACATGTTTTGGATTCCGTACAAATTTCCAAGACCATGATTGGAAAAAGCAGGAAGATGGTATAACGGAGGTAAATGACAAAATTCCAAATGTTCGGAAAAGCTTCCCAGTAAGTTTGTTCATAGTTTGAGTATTTCTGCAATGCAACTTAAGATGCCGACGGTATCGGTTTATATTATTCCGCCGACCAAAATCGCAATTTAATTACGTCACATTGAACGGATGTCACGTTTCAAAACATCGGCGGATATGATACCGAACATTTTGAACGCAAACACGTTTAATGCACGTTGGTGTCTGCTCACGTTTTGTTGCATTATTGACCATATTGTAGATCCATTGAGATGTATTCCTGTACAGATATTATTTAAAACTACAGGTCCTGGTATCAACAAAGGTAAGTCATACTTAACGGTTCATTGTGATTTATTCCCGTATATTTATTAATTACCGAACAACTACTACTACAGATATTGATATCTAGGACACACTTTACCGTTAACATTCAAGTGAATAGGTTCATCAGGTAAATTTTCAAACTTGGGGTTCCACGTTTTTAATAATAAACCTGAATTGTTAAACTTTCCCAATTTACCAGTCTCGCTCCATTTTACGGTAAGTCCGACATTCCCTGGTAGGTTGGGATAGAGTGTCCTTTCCTTAAACCTCCAGGCGTGGTATATATGCCATATTGACCAGAAATGTTCGGTGGTTCCCTGTTTAATACTTTGTTTATATTTCTTTGTTGGCAATATACCAGGAACTATGGGTAGGAACGCGGGGGTTTTAGTGGTACGTTCATACCAATGTATGTATTTTATCCATCTTTTCTGATTTGGAGAAAATCCTGAAGTACCCAGAACAGGATACACGAAGACAATGTTTTCCTCTGGAGCTCGCAGTTGCCCTGGTGTGCCTCCATGTTTGATGCTGTTTCCCTGGAGCGAGTAACCGTTGATATACGGTAACGAATCGTACTTCGCGTGAACATTTTTTAACCATTTATAGAAATATTTCGACACTGTCAAATCATCCTCTAATATTACGGCGATTTCGTTGTTCTCCGGGGACGGAATCCATGTCTTCATCCACTGACCGATATTTCCCACGGGCATGGTCTGGTTATAAACGCTTATAGCGCCGTGTTTGAATTTGAATTTCGTTGTCGTTACATAGGTCTCCTCGTGAATAACACCATCCTTAGAACGATCAATCCAAACGTCAATAGCGACCTTGTCACCTAAATAATCGGCCTCGTTTAATGATTCCAACAATCTCAACACAGAAATAGCATGGTTATATGTAATAACAATTACGCGAAGGTCAAGGTCAAATGGTGTGTTCCATTGCATATCGTCGAACTTAATACGTTTTTCATATCTCATGTATCTTTTAATCTCTGGATCATTCCTCTTTTCGAATCCCATTGCCTGACTTTTGTTGACACCTGGAGATATTACATCTTCTGCCTTATTGACAATTACTTCTTGTAATGGCTGGGAATAGAACAAAGTACAAAATCATTTCTACATGATGTTAATTGCACATTTTCAATTACATTGACGTCACCAGTATGTTAAAATTACTGTTACTCGAACGGTTGTTCTCATTTTGTTTTCAATAAATAGGTTACAACACAAGGTTTCCAGACGTGCATGTTGGTAAAGACTATGGACAAGTCGCATTACGCGTCTGAGAGCGTAAGGATATGTCATATGTATATCGCACGCAGTTTGCCTCTGACTGCCAAATAGCAGCATTTTGTTTTTACTTTAAACATGAAACATATATTTCCTAAATAAAAAATTGTTAACCGGTGCTTCGACAAAAATTTAACTGAAACTAAACTCAATGAATATGATGCTTTTCACCGTGTTTGTCATTAAAACACGGTGAGGTCATATCTAAACCAGCATGCGCTGTGACCTACTTATATTTTAATGACCAATATCTTTAAATATCTTCTACTTATCCTACATAATTTAAATCTCCAATCCGAACAAATAACAGTTTTTACACAAACGGTTTTCTGAAAGAAGATGTCAAACAAAACATTACATCCTACCCTCTCTTACTTTAAATCCCGCCTCGGTATGACGGATTAGGATATGTTTTGATAGAATATGTTGTACTTGTAACTGTTATATTGTAGTTTGAACCTTGTTAGGCACGGTATTACTGAACAACTTGCTTAATGTATAATTAAATCCTTTTGTGGTTAAAACCTATACATTTACAACGTGATAAACGACATTATAGGGGTTCTCCCCATGCTGTATTTCTACATATGGTGTGGAACATTTATCTGGTTACTCCGGGTTAAAACTTAATTGCAGAAATTATAACATCAAGTGCAATAATAGCTGTGTGAATTTGTGCTATTTGCTACATCATTAATACATAATTACTATTTGATACATGACGAGTTATCAAAATCATATTCTAAATGGGAGCATTCTTTTACAACGGGTAAAAGCAATATAAAACTGGTTTAATTGTTCACAAAGGTTCTTTAAGCCATATTTAAGTGATACATTTAAACTTATGATTAGATTTAAAAAAATAAAAAGATTTACAACATTTTTAAATCTGTTGACAGAATTAATTCGACTATACTTATTAAGTAGTTCGATATCAAATATATAGGTAGTACATATTACAAAGTAGATTCATCTGCCACACTTATTATTATATCCTGGGGTATAACACATTAAATTGTAAATTGGATTTTTATTCTTTGACCTAAGCTACCACTGCAGATTACCGATGAGATGGTCACGTGGTGCAGTGAATGTTTGGTTTAGTTCATGAAATTTCTCATTTATTAATGGAATCGTTTTTTGGAGCGTTTTTTTGTAGTGATCATTAATTTTCATTCTAGTGAGTTAATATTTCTAACTCACTGTAATATATAATGTTAAAGGTACACAGCATAGCATTCTGTTGACAGATTTATGAGTCAAATTGATCAATTGTATTGATTAATGTATTAGTTCATGTATGCGTTAATCATATTGATTGTATATCTATGTACTGTAAACACGCTTTAGAGTAGCTTATTCTAGCTAGATAGGGCGCAGTATCAAATGTTGTATATTTATTTATTTGTATTTATTCTTTATTATCTTCAGGTATATTCCTGAAAATGTTTTTAGGGGTTGTGGAACAGTCCAATTCAGCACAGCACCTTATATTTAGTTTTATTCAAATGGTTTTACATTTACTTTCGTAGTTCTTGACCTCTAATGAAATAAGTTTGCTAAGTCATAATCAAAACGCCTATGTTACTAAGTCAGCCGTGATGAAGTAATTGACACGTGATATCTGATGAAACAATTTCACATGAGTCGTAACTATCTATCACAAGTAATACATCGGTTAGTTACAAATTATCATAAGTCCGTAGTAAGCATGGTACATGTATATTGCAAGCATATATTGCATTTACTTACATAGAGAATGAATATCTAATGAAACCATATTGATGAAACATTTACCGTAACCATATATCATCAATTCTATATTGTTAGTTACACGTTATCATTAGTCCTTAATGAGCATTTAACATTCATATTACATGTTAAAGGACATTTATTTACATATGTAATGAACATCTTAT